CTGTTCATTCTTCAAAGACCAAAAACCCTAACACAAAAAAAACGGCCGCCTATCCTCTTCCTGTCCGTCCAACTTTCAATCTTCCACCAACAATGTTCCTCTCCATTTCCGCTGTTCTTCTTCTTCGCCGCAAAACTCAAACAACCTTCTCCATTATCTTCTCCAAACAACTCTTCCCCAACCCTTTACTCCTCAATGTTTCTTCCTCAACATCATCTCAACCTACATCACCCATCGTTTCACCTTACAACCTTCTTACCACCGCTTACCATCATCAGTGTTTATCGACGAAAAACCCAATCACTTCGTTCTCAGCGCCAGCGATCAACAGCCGCTTTCTTCAGCCACCTCCTCCATTAACGAACTTCAACCCATATCCACCTCCACTCTTCCTCAGAGAAACCATACAAAACCACCATACAAAACCACCATTTAACCCATCAAGCTCAAACCCCTTCCGTCAAACCAACCGCCGTGCAGACCCATTTCAGCATCGTTTACACACTCTTCATTTCCTCCTCCAAACTCACCATCATTCTTCTTCAACAAACTCAAAACTAGAAATACAAACTTTTAAACCCAGACACAACCAAATCCATGTCCTCCCTCACCGAATCCCAAACCTCACCCAAAACCACTTTCGTATTCCGCAGTGAACCTCCGGCCTTTCTTCCACATCGTCGATTTCGCCGTCTTAATTTGTGTAGCACAAGAGAACTTATGTCGTGTTGGGTTTCTTCTCATATTGTTGGATTGCTTTTATTAAAAATAAGTCTTGGTTTAGTTAAATTGTTGAAACTGATATTTGGCCATTTGATACTGTTTGTAAAGCAATTTCCCGTCACTGTATGTTTTCACTGATGATGCAATGTGTGCCTTAAATTTCTGTCACAGTAAAACTTAATAGGAAGGTTAGAGTTAGTTTTCCTTTTAGGGATTAATTATATTATATTAAATTAAACACACATTTATATTCCATTTAGACTTTCATTTAGATTTTAATTCCATTTAGAATTTCATTTAGATTTTAATTCCATTTAGACTTTAATTTCATTTAGATCTTATTTCTTTTTTTAATTTTAATTTGGATTTTAACTTAAACTTTTAATTTTGGTCAACTTTCATTCTTAAATTTTTGTAAACTTTTGACTAACCCTTTGACTAATTCCTATTGGTTTTGATTTCTAATCTTTATTTTTGTCTTTGGACATAAGGTTTTGTTTCTATTTTTTTATTGAGGATTTATTTTCATATTTCCTCGTTTTGGGTCGATGACGAGACCTCCGTAAACCATTATTAGTCAAACCATTGATAAATAATGTTGGATCCGAGACCAACCTTCTTTCTCACCTCATTTCTACTCCATTTTCAATTTTATTCAAGCTTCCGCGATCTATGAAGTCTTTTATTTGTAAGCATCGCGTATCAAAGTCGATAACCTTCTCGATTTCAAATCTATGGAAAATGACCATTTGTGTCATTTTCTTTACTTTGGGATCGTGATAGGCTACCTTCGATTAATCGATATAATGTTTACGATTAAGACGAGATTCCCACCTTTTTGGTCCGTGCGACACGATTAAATCGGAAAATGATCCTCAATATCATTTATCTATCTTGTCTTTTGCACGAATATCAATTACGCGACCTCCTATAGTTCGACTTTCATCATAAGTCAAGCTACGACGGTTTAGCGTTAAATTTGTCCTGATTCAATTCACTAACAAAACTGACGACTAACTTTATTTTCTGTCAAATATTAATTATTTTAAATTGAGTCATTATATTCTTGTACATATTATTATATAACTTGCATATTATCCATATCTTGTAAATATTTAAACACTTGTACATTCCTTCAAAACACCTAATCAATATCGAAACCATAAAATCTAAATTGGTGGATTGTTGGTTATCTTGTATCCTGTATATATTCGTATCCATCTCGTATCTCTTTTGCATCTTCTCAAAATTATCTTTAATATAAGGATAAAGTTCTCTTTGTGTTGAATTAAAGAGAGGGGATTGAGTGTAGACTTCTTCCTCTCCGAGTATTAGGATACTCACTGTAGGGTGTGTGGTCTCGATACTCGTCTTTCAATATGAAGACCTTTGTATTCGTCACACCTTTTTCTCCTAAAACCTTGGTCCCGTACTGAGTGCATTTTCAATTTCTTTTCACAATAAAAACTTGAATGGTCATGGAGTGTTTAGGCGTAGGCCTTCTCCTATCCCGAGTGCTTGACATTACCGTTAGGGTTCACTGTCGAAAAGCACTTACCATTCAAGATCAAAACATCTTTAATAAGAGAATGAAGTTCTCTTTGTATTGAACTAAAGAGAGAGGATTGAGTGTAGACTTCTTCCTCTCCGAGTGTCGGGATACTCACTGTAGAGTGTGTGGTCTCGATACTCGTCTTTCAATACAAAGACATGACTATATTCGCCACACCCTTTCATAAAAAAAATTTGAGATAAAGAATTGGGTACTACCCGCAAGGGGGTTACTATCCGAGGATCTATTTCACCCCTAAAAACAACTCATAAATCAAATGTGACATCTTTCCTCTCATGGCGAAAACTAATCTTTTAAAAAAGGATATGTTACGTCCGTTCAACCGCAAACAGGTAACGCCTAAGTCTCGAATGAGCGAGCAGCAATACACCTAAACTGCTAGAATGCGCATGATAATATCATCCACAAAAACACCGGTTACCTGTATCACGAACTATGTTTGCTTTGATTTCTCATACCAGATGAGAATACATAGGCACAAGACGACGATGTCTTGGCGAGCAATTTTCTTTCTTTTCCACCCTTTCCTAAAAGGACATGCTATGTCCGTTCTACCACAAACAGGTAACGCCTAAGTCTCCAACGAGCAAGCAACAATACACCTAAATTACTAGAATGCGCACGATAGCATCGTCTACCAGAACTTTCCAGTAAATCGTAGGCCGAACTACGACTGCTATGATTCTTTACCTATTTTGAGTAAAGATACATAGGCACAAGGGCCACAATCCTTATCGAGCACATTCCCCCCTATATTTGTAGTTCCCCGAACTACGTCGACTCTTAATTTCTCATATCTGTTGAGAATACGTAGGCCTAGGACTGCAAAGTCCTACCGAGTCTTTCTTCCCCGTTACCTCACTTTCCCCCTATTTATAACCTTTTCTCTATCCCTAGGAACACTCTTTATAGAAATAACCTTTTAGCAGATATCTTCACACATCGACAAACAAATGGTTCCCATCGAGTACGCTAGATGCGAGGGGTGCTAATACCTTCCCTTCGCATAACCGGTTTCCGAACCCGTTCTTGGTTGCGAGACTATCTTATTTGTTCTTTTCTTAGGGTTTTCTCGATGTTTTCCCTTCCCCTCATGGGATAAATAAAGTTCGATGGCGACTCTTCTATCTTTCGTTTCGTCTCCCCGTTATTTCATTTTTTCGAGTAGCGACAATTAGGGAATGAGGAATCAGAGCAGCTGTAGTTCGGCCAACTACGGTTAACGGGTGTCTCGATTGCACAGGTGCGAGAGAAAAAGGGGTCTCGATCGCACGGATGCGCGAGAAAAGGGGTCTCGATCGCACGGATGCGAGAGAAAAGGATCCTAGGTCTGGAACGCCTAAACGGAAGGGAACCGGATCGGTTTGGGGCGCGCACTATGCAAAATCCTAAGACATAGGAGCGAATGCGTCGCATATTGCCCAAAGGGCAAACATTAAACACTCTAGAAAATGTGAGGAGAGTCCCCCCACTCATCATTTCCTACGTATCTAATGCATGGAACTCATAACACTCATCGCGATTATGGTTTTGAATTAAGGTCCAACAGTGTTAATGAATCGAATTGGGACAAATGTGACGCTAAACCGTCGTAGCTCGACTTATGAGGGAAGTCAAACTATAGGAGGTCGCGTATTGATATCCGTGCTATGGACAAGATGGAGAAATGGTATTGAGGATCACTCTTTGATTGAATCGTGTCACACGGGCCAAAAAAATGGAATCCCGTCTTAATCGCAAACATTATGTCGATTAATCGAAGGTAGCCTATTGCGATCCCAAAGTAAAGAAAATGACCCAAATGGTCATTTTCCATAGATTTGAAATCAGGAAGGTTAACGACTTTGATAATCCGACACTTACAATTACAAGACTTCATCGATCGAGAAAAGCCAAAATAAAATCGAAAAGAAGAAGAAATGAGGAGAGAAAGGAGGTGGTCGCGAATCCAACATTATTCATCAATAATTTGACTGGTAACGGTTTTACAGAAGTCTCGTCATAGACCAAAAAGCGGGTGAAAATGAACAAAGATGAAATAAAGTCGAAAATAAAAAAGTGAAGATAAAAGTCGGCCTCGGATCTATCGTTTTTTCATCAATAATTTGACAGAAAAACATAGAGGTCTCTTCATCGACCCAAAAGAGGAAATGAATCCTCAATGATAAATAAAAATGCTAAAACTTAGAAAAATATTAAAAATTTAGAAGAATATATTAAAATTAAATTAAAAAGAGGATAAGATTAGAAACATATATATATATATATATATATATATATATATATATATATAATATATATATATATATATATATATATATATATATATATATATATATATATATATATATATATATATATATATATATATATATATATATATATATATAATATATATATATATATATATATATATATATATATATATATTATATATATATATATATATATATATATATATATATATATATATATATATATATATATATATATATATATATATATATATTATATATATATATATATATATAAAGAACTAATTTACAAAAATATTAATAAATCTAAAAACTATATTATGAAAATATATATTACAATTTTCTTTTAGAAAGAGAGAGAAAATGGGTTAAATAAAAACAGGGGGGATCATGAATAAAAGAGAGGGATGTGATCAATAAGAAGGGATCATTTGGGCCTTGAAGGCCCATCACCCATCCACCAGAAGAAGACTCGGTTGCATAAAATAAAAACTAAGAGGCAACATGGGCCTTACAGCCCTCCTAAATCTCCACGTGCCTTCAAGGAAATCAACAGTCTGCTTGGTTGAATCCTTTCCGATTGATGCTGGGGAAATGACGGTGTTCATATTGTCAACATCCTTTGATACACCCTTTCCAAGATAGTCAGATCCTCCATCTCTTATCTCAAGAGCCTCATAAATTCCAGTAGATGCACCGCTAGGAACAACGACTCTAGCGAAAGTGCCATCGAAGACAGTAATATCAACCTCGACGGTTGGATTGCCATGGTTGTCGAAGATCTGACGAGCTTTGATTGAAGTAAAAGCGGTCATGAAGGGGGAGGAGAAATCGATGCGAGCGAGAAATGAAATTTGAGATCTGAAGAGTGGAGATAAAATTAACGTATCGTGTTTAACGGAGGTGGGTTGTGAGGAAGGTGATTTGTGGCGGAAAGTTTTGTGGGGTAAACGGGTTGGAGGAAGATGATTTACGGTGGTGTTCGGTGGAGATGATGAGTGAAAGAAATGAAAGGAAGGAAGAAAGGGATGGCGGAAATCTGGGTTTCCGAAAAATGGGTTTGGCGGAGGGGAGAGTTTGAAAGAGATGGGTTGAAGACGATTGAGCTGTGGGTTTTTGGTTCGCGGAAGTGGGGTTTGTGAAGAAGGCGGAGATGGAGGAAAATGATGGGATTCGCGGCGATGAGGGAGGAAGAAGTCAATGGGTTTCGCGTTTTCGTTTTGAAAACGGAGAAGAAGATGATGAAGTGGGGTTTCATTTGGTTTCAGAAATGGTGATGGATTGAAAGGTTGGAGTTCGCGGCCGAGTTTTTGTGGATGAAGAAGGTGATGATAATGATGAACTGTAGGGGGGCAGATGCTGCATTTTTAGGGTTTTGGGAATGAGAATGATGAAGCTGAACAGTGATTTCGGCTGGCTGCTAGGGTTAAGAGAACCGAGGAAGGAGAAAATAAACAGTAGCATATATATGCAGAAATGTGACACGTGGCACCCTTGTTAATCCTGATTTGTTTAATTTTTCTGTTAATTAAAGCTGATGACTAATAGTGTTGTACTAACTAATATTAATAATAATAATAAAACAAAAATCCTAGTTCTAATAACAAATAATTAACCTAACTAATAGTTAACTAATTAATCTAAATTAACTCTAAATAGTTAAATAAAAATCTAATCCTAAAAACTTATTCTAATTCTATTTAAAAATCTATTTTCTAATAAATCTATTTAAAAAAAACTATTAAAAAAAAACCTAGATTCTAATATAATTTCAATTAAATCTATTTTAAAGTTCTATTTCTAAAATCTAAATAGTTCTAAATAAACTTCTATGCTAACCAAAATCTATTTAAAAATTTAAAACTATTTTCTAACTCCTATTAAAAAATCTATTAAAACCTAAATTCTAAATCTAAATTCTATATTCTAATAAAATAAACCTAAATAAATATTAACCATTAAATGAAATAAATCACAAAAAACTAAGAAATAAAAACGAAAAAAACGGGCGAACACCGGAACGCACAAAATTAACAGCACGGACTGAATCATCAGGAAGAGAGCAACTTTCGCTTGATTTCGACATGGAACTCAATATTTGAACTGGTTTAAATTGTCTAAAATGCGAACAAAGCGGCTGTAATTCCGATAAATCCCTTATGGCTGATAACATGGACAGTATGCGAGAGATGATCGACCTAAATGATATGCAGATGAATGCGAAGCAAAAACCAGTCAAAGTTAGAAAACTCGAGGGCAAATTTTAGGGGGCAGCACTATGGATTCAGTCTCTTCTGACAGAGTTAAAATTTCCCTTTACTACCCCTGTTTTTATTCCTGCCTTTGATCAGTATGCAGATCTTCTTATCAAACCTCTATCTCCTCTCAAGTTCCCTTAATTCAAAAACAAGCTTAAAGTGCAAGACAAATCATCTCTTGTTCATAGGTGACCTTGGGCTTGAAGAAAAGATATTAGAATAATAGTGAAATAAAGTGTAAGAGTATAAATGTAAAACAACTGTGCTGAGTCAGCATAGTTGAGTTCTCTCTATATAACCTAGCTCTAACTATTATTTAAAATTAACTTTCCTTTTATGTTATGAAATGAAAGAAGTTTGTTATAACACTTTCTATTCTCTCTTCTTTTTTCATCTTCAATCTCATTTAAGTTTCTAACAATGCATGCCTTAACAAACTAAACTAGTAAGTTTTGACACACATGTAGAAACACACACATATTTATTTAAACACATCCAAATATGTTTAAATATTATTAAAATATGCCTGAACTTAAATGTGTAATATTTATGATTTAAATATGATTTTCAATACCATCCAAACATATTTAAATATTATTAATATATTATCTTATTCTTTTTGACATATTAACTACATTTGATATACTTTGAGGATGAAGGTTTGAATAAATATCCCATCCATTGAAATTATATTTAAATATTATTCGTGTTGAGTATGTAATTCCTTGTGTCAAAGCAGTGTAGCTCGAAAGAAACAAGATTTAGTCAAATTAGCCTATTGTGCGTGTCGAGTTGTATTAGTGTGTTAAAGTGTCAAAGCAGGTTTCTTCACACAGGATTTCGACTTAGGCCTATTTTAGTATTGTTAGATATTTTTGGGATTTGACTTGGGGTGCAAGTTAACATAAATCTATAAATAGAGAGAAATCCTTATTTTGTAAATAACGCAACTCATAACATTGTATTCACAGAATTTGCAGTTGCAAGTGAATAAGAGTTTTCCGCAGTTTGTGGGCAAAGAGAAACTCTGCAGAATATTCATCTTCTTATCCAACGTTATTTTCTTTCTTTCTTCCTCCACCTTTTTCATCGTCATTGCATGATTGATAACAATCTTAAGATCAAGATTGATTAGGAATTCTCCATAGGTTGTGGTTGAATTCCAACATCTGATATCTAGAGCTCCGGCTGCGATTTAAGGAACATAAATCGTGATGGTGATGAATCATCCAAACAGGCACTTTCTGGAAAATCTTCCAATTCTCGAGAAAGATGATTATGAGAATTGGTGCAAGCAGATTAAGGTAATTTTCTGTTATTAAGATCTTTAGGATCTTGTGAAGAAAGGATTAACACCGCTTATAGAGAATGCGAAGGATCAAGAAATGGCTCCACAAAGAAGAAAGATTATAAAGCTCTCTTTATAATCCATCAATGTGTTGATCTATATAATTTTGAAAAAGGTTAGTGATGTAGAATTAGCAAAGGAGGTGTGGGAAATTCAAGAGAAGTCGTTTGGAGGAGAAGAGAGGGTGAAAGATGTGAGATTACAAACTCACAAGAGAACCTATGAATTGCTTCAGATGGAAGAAAGTGAAAGTATAACAGATTTATTCACTAGAGTTACAAAGCTGGTGAATCAAATCAAGGTATGTGAAAAAGTGTTGACATCAAGATCAATTGTTGCATAGATCTTAAGGTCATTGGCTTCAAAGCTTGACCACATGGTAGTAGCCATAGAAGAGTCAAAAGAATTGTCAGTATTGAAGAAGAAACAGCTTTAAGGGACACTTGAGTCTTATGAACAAAGGATGACTGAAAGAGTTGTAGGAAAGTCAAAGGGTGATATGGCTTTGCAGGTGCATTCAAAAAAAGAAAAGAAAAGAAAAGAAAGCGGGAATGGAAACAAAGGTAGAAGAGGTTACAACAATTCAACTGGTCGAAATCAGCAGGAAGGAAACTGGTCGAATCAGAGAAAACCCTAAAACCAAGGAAACCAAAGAAGTGGTGTTGTAGGTAGCGGAAGAGTTGGTGGTCAAAAGTCTGACAAAAGTCACATTCAGTGTTACAATTATTAGAAGTATGACTATTATTTTAGTATATTTCGAGAAAAGAAGAAGAATCAAGAAATTGATGCAAAGCTGGCGAAACATGAAGAAGAAGAGATGTTGCTGATGGTCACAACAAGAGATGAATAAAGATTACATGATCAATGGTACTTGGACTCAGGATTTTCATCACACATGACTGGTAGGAAACATTGGTTTGTCAACATGAAGCCCTCAATGAAGAATATGGTGAAATTTTCAAATGATAATACTCTAGCAACTTAAGGTATTGGTGATGTTTTGATTATGAGGAAAGATGACAAAATGTTAGTAATTTCAAATGTTCTTGGCTATTCAACCGTTCTTTGGATAAAGCTGATTCTCCTTTTCCCCAGCGAATTCATTCTTTCTTCTTCAATTTACAGAGTCATCCTATTAAAACCTAGTCCCCATCAGAGTTCTCAACCTTCTTTTGGTTTTCTCTCCTTTGTGTTTGGGTAATCACTGCCTACCAGTTAAACACCAGTCATCTTTTCCTCAGTTAATCACAACCCGTCTGTTAATACTGAATTTTCTTTGGATTAATCGCCTTCTTCTGGCTAATCACCCGATCTTTGGTTGATCACGGTCTGCCCGTTAAAACCAGTTTTTTATTTAGGTTAATCACCTTCTCTTGGTTAATCACCCACGTTTTGGTCAATCATAGTCCGCCTGTTTGAACCAATCCCCTTTTCTCAGTTAACCATAATCCGTCTATTAAGATACTGAGTTTTCTTTTGATTTAATCATATTCTTTTGGTTAATCACTCATTCTTTTCGGTTAATCACAATCCGTCTATTAAGCACCAAACCCCCTGCAGTTAGAAACCTTTGTTGGGTTCAAACACTACCAGCTTTGGGTTAGTAACCTTTGTTCGGCTCGAATACCCCTTTCCTTTGGCCAAGTGTTGTTTGTTCAGTCAATGTGCCATTCTTTGGGTCAAAACCTTTGCTTGGTTCTACACCCGTCTCTTGGTTGATCACCGTTTATCGGTTAAAACCAGTTTCCTTTATCCTTCTAGTTAACCACTATTTATCAGTTAATATACCGATTTCCCCTCAGAGTCAAACACCTCCCTTTGGTGTAATACTCTCTTTCTCTTGGTTCGTCACAGTCCGTCTATTGACACCACCCATTTTGGTCTCCCTATAAAGTTTTATTCTTATCTTTCTTTGGTTAATCACTGCTCACAGTTAATGCACCGAGCTCCTCGTGGGTCTTACCTTTATTTTGATTCTTGCCCTTTAATCCTTTCTTCCCCGGCCACGTCGCCATTATTTTGTTTTGTCCCCAGTGGAGTCATCGCTTTTCTTTTGCATTCCTCGGCAGAGTTCTTGTCTTGCTTCTCTTTTCCTCAGCAGATTTTTCTTGGTGTTGACACCATTCCGTTTACACTTCCCAGTTGGGTCTTTCTTTCTCTTTTAGCTCTTGGGTTTGACGCCGCCTTTGTTTTCTTTTTCAGCGTTAGT